CTCTTTTTTTTAAACATATTTCACTTAACAATAATTTTGTTTATACAATTTTTAAATGAATTTTCATAGAACCAGCATGGTGGCAATCACCTTTCATTCATTACAACCTGTCTAAGTACTTTGTTGATTACAGGCTTCCCTATATTTGACGTAGTTGGTCATGCTTAGAAGGAGGGTTTGTACGTTTGTAGCCACAGTTTTTTTTTCTAGTTATTATTAGAAAGACGTCCATCTCGACTGGTTTGTTTCCATCTGAGTATTTATACAAAAGAAAATAAAATACGTCACTAGACACGGAGACTTATTTGTAAAAACGTAATAGAACCGGTTCACGAAATATAGTATCCGCTCGCTTCGCTATGCGTAAATTAAATACATACATTCATGCATAAATTATCACGCCCGTCAACCAGTCGTGTAGGCTGAGGTTACAGACTTCAATTTGGCACGATCTTGACACACCTCTTTCGCTTCTTTCTATTAAATAAATTCAACTTCTATAATCTTTTATATAAAAATTACGTGTCACGTTGTTTGTCCGCGATGGACACCTAAACTACTGAACTGATTCCAATGAAATTTTGCACACTGTGTGCATTTTGGTCCAACTTATGAGATAGTTTTTATCCTGATAAATAACCCTCAAAATTTTTTATTGCGAATTTAAGGATTTTTATAGAAGGGTCGTTGGAAAGGGCAGAATAAAGTCTGCCTGGCGAGCTAGTCTTTATATATAAAAATTAAGTGTCACATTGTTTGTCCGCGATGAACTCCTAAACTACTGAGCTGATTTCAATGATATTTTTCAAACTGCGCGCAGTTTGGTCGAACTTAAGACATAGGATAGATTTTATCCCGATAAGTGACCCTTAACATTTTTTATTAGGAATTTAAGGGTTTTTTTTTTATTGGAGAAAGGGTCATCTCGGAAAAGGGCAGAACAACGTCTGCCTGGTCAGCTAGTCTTTATATATAAAAAAACACGTGTCACATTGTTTGTCCGCGATGAACTCCTAAACTACTGAACTAATTTCAATGAAATTTTGCACACTGTGTGCTGTTTGGTCCAACATGAGAGATAGGATAGTTTAGAGATAGGATAGTTAAGTGACCATCAATATTTTTTATGGCGAATTTAAGGTTTTCTTTTAAGAGACAAAAGGTCGTCGGAAAGAGCAGAACAACGTCTGCCTGGCCATTTAGTAATTCTTTTAAAATTATCCTATGTCCTTTATCACCATATGATAAAGCTTTATGGCAAATTTTATTAAAACGCGTCCAGTCGTTAGTTGTCTAAGCGTGATAGACATCCAAACCAAAAAATTATAATATTAGTAATTTAATACGTGGTAGAGCCACGTTTCGGTGTATTATGGCTGAAGTGACAAATGTATTTTGCTGCTATTTCACATTTGTATTCTGTGTGGGAGTGGTCCTTCCCTGGTCGAGCCGACGCATTAGTGCCGCAGCTATAGGACAACTGCAGCGTTGTTTTACAACGTAATGCAATGAAACTGCTTAAAAGAGACTGAAAACCAGCGGTCATGGATCGCCACGGCAAATGTTCAGTGTGACTGTGACCTCTTTGTCTCGTTCATCATCATCGTAACCATCACCTGATGGTTACGATTACGATGATGATTCATCATTGCAGCATTTCAGAAGTCTACTGCTGAACATAGGCCTCCTCCAAGAAATGCCATAAAACATGGTCTTGAGCCACCTGCATCCATCGACTATCTGTCTTCTTTCCATTTTTCATACTTCGTGTCTCGTTCTGCAACGTCTAATTATAACTACACTCAAGACTTGTTAAAATACTGTCTTTGTTTCTTACAAAAGGTGTATGTCCGCAACTGTAACACGTGGTTGCATTTTACAACCGACTTCAAAAAAGGAGGAGATTCCCAATTCGTCGGCATCTCTTTTTTTATGTATGTTCACTGATTACTCAAAGACGCCTGAACCGATTTGGAAAATTCTCTTTTTGTTTGAAAGCTGGTGCTCCTCATGTGGCCCCATAAAATTTGATTAAGATCTGACCAGTAGTTTTCGAGTTATCCTTAATAATGCGTATTTAATTTACTTTGACTATATTAATGATGTTCTCATTTTATTTATATTGAAGACGGTTGAAGAAAATTTTAAATTTTATCACGTGTTAAATAGTATGTAATCTGTCCGTTATATTTATTTCGGATGTGTTTAAGAACTTCGATTATATTTCTGCTGAAAATATGTCATTCCAACTTAATCGATAACCTCATTCGACTGCGCTACGTGACTCTGTCTTAGCGCTGTCACGCGGTATCTACGAGTAGTAAACGCAAAGTATTGGCCGCTGAAATAAATTATAAACACTGATCAGTTAAAGATACTCCGCCATGTTTAGACTAGCAGTATATTATTATGCGATAATTTTTAGGGTTCCGTAGCCGAATGGCAAGAAACGGAACCCTTATGGATTCGTCATGTCTATCTGTCTGTCCGTCCGTATGTCACAGCCACTTTTTTCCGAAACTATAAGAACTATGCTGTTGAAACTTGGTAAAAGATGTATTATGTGAACCGCATTAATCTAGTATCTATGGATAGGTATTCAAATATGATATTGAGGTTTTCAATATCATTTTTTCTAAACTGAATAGTTTGCGCGAGAAACAATTCCAAAATGGTAAAATGTGTGCCCCCCCCCCCTCCCCCCTGTAACTTCTAAAATAAGAGAATGATATAACTAATATATGATGTACATTAACATGTAAACTTCCACAGAAAATTGGTTTGAACGAGATCTAGTAAGTAGTTTTGTTTTTAAATACGTCATAAATCGTAAACCGCAATTTACCTTTCATTCAATCAACTGAAATATAAAAATAAAAAAAAAAATATTTCATAAACATAAGCCTTATGCACAAACCGTGAACCATTATTTTGTAATAATAAATCTGTAAAAGGTGCCGAAGTAAATAATAATTATAATTCGCGCGGGGCGTGGCTTGATCGGTAGCGGGTGCGGAGCGCGCTGGGGGCAGGTAAGCCCGCTCGGGTAAGCGCACGCGCAGTCGGGACGTGCGCTTACCCGAGCGGGCAGGGCAGACGTCGGTGCTCGCGGAGCTAATTTTTCGATACATTTGCGAATGCTAAATATTGTACGTTTACGATTTGATACTGTTTTCGTTGGACAAAATTAATTTCAATTACTTACATCGAAATTATCTTGCTGCTACGGAACCCTTCATGGGCGAGTCCGACTCGCACTTGGCCGGCTTTTATTTTTTTAATCATTGAGAGTGACAAACGGGCACATAGTCCATCTGATTTATTACCCCTTTTTTACTAGGTAATTATTTTATTAGTAGGTAATTAGATGCTGGGCTTTATAGACACATCTATTCTCGATTTATCAAAATAATTTAAAATTAAAAATTTTGTACAACCGAGTTCAATATAAATTATTAAGAATAACTCAAAAATTATTGGTCCAAACTTGATCACATTTATATGGGACCACATGAAAAGCACCAGCTTTCAAATAAAAAAAAGAATCATCGAAATCGGTTCATCCCCGAAAAAAGTTATGAAGTAACACACACATAAAAAACATATAGTCGAATTGAGTACCGTCTCCTTTTTGAAGTCGGTAGATAAAAATCGATGGACTATGCCGCTTTGAAAGGGTCCCCGGTTCTTGTTACTCACCATATGGACTACGCTAGTGTTCTGTGAGTGTGGTCCTTCCTCGGCCGAACTAATCCATTTGAATTTTAGCTGAAATACGTTCCAACTTGACCCTACAACGAATCGTTATAATCCTCCCCCAAGGAATGCCATAAAGCACGGCCCAGAGCCACCTGTATCCATCGACTTTCTGCATCCCTCACTAGATGTACACTTCATCTAGTGAGGGGTCGCCATACAGTAATAAAATTTAGTGATTCCGACAGCTATAATTTGCAGTCAAAAGATCTAAATGTACTTATGGTTTTTGTTACTGATAGTCGAAATAGGGCGATAGATTTTTTCGATACCATTGCAATTTAAATAATGATTTTTACTTCTTTTCATATTTTTTACGACGAGTTGTTCGTAGTGGACTGTAACGAACGAAAATGGATTGGTTCAATACTTCTCTTTTTGGTTAAAAATTTCAGTCTGTTGCACTACTAACGAACAGTACTGAAATTTGAGGATCAGCTATAATATCCTTATCTAATTCCGACCAAGATGTTACATCATTCATTGTCAATAAGCGTGGCTTGTAGTTGTAAGATAATCTATCAGCCCATTTCGTCCCGTGTGTGTCGTAAGAGGCGACTATAGGGTACGCTAGAAAGTTCTCATGGCTTCCGATAGATAGCGGTATAACTGTTTGATTTTTTTTATAGAATAAGGGTGACAAACGAGCACACAGTCCACCTGATGGTAAGTGGTTGCTGTGGCCCATAGACATCTACATCTATCCTCGTTTGTGAATCAAAATGCAGATGCGTTGCCACCCGTGAGGACTAAGATGGAATACCTCTTTTCCAGTAAAAAGGCTCTCCGGTTCTCTACACTCACCAGCAGTGTCAAACTGCTATTTTATGCTGGTATTCTGTGAGAGTGTGGTCTTTCCCCGGTCGAGCCGACCCATTCGTGCTACAACTATACTACTAATATAGATGCAGTATTGCTCTACCACGTATAAAAAATCATTATCGCCAGACTTAAAATACCAAAGGGGCATCAGAGCTGTGAGACTTCTGGTCTGCTCCGATCTGAATTGATCTAGAATACCAGAATATTATGGTTGTAGATAGAATACCAGCGTAAAATAGCAGCCAATGCTTCTGTGTTTCGTAAGTTGAGTGTAGAGAACCGGAGATTCTTAATACGGAATACGAGGCATTCCATTTTAGTACTCAGGGGTGACAACGCATTTGCATTTTGATCCTTAATCGAGCGTGCATTCAGCCTTTTATATAAAAATCATATAAAACTAATAAATATTTATCTACCAGGTCTCCGAAGAGCAAAGCTGGTGAAGAAGAATGCGAGACGGAAGCCCTGAAGTCGGACCCTCCAATCGAAGACTCCGAAAAGGATGTCGGCGCCTTGGAAGCGAAGATGTCCCTCCTCAACGGGATCACTGTCATCGTGGGTTCTATCATCGGCAGTGGAATTTTTGTGTCACCGACAGGTGTACTGAAATACACAGGATCTGTCAACGCAAGTCTACTTGTGTGGGTTGCATCGGGAATTTTTAGTATGGTTAGTATAATATATTTAATTTTATACGTGGTAGAGCCACCCTGCGGCTTTATTAAGGTTGCACGTATGGGTCGGCTCGACCCGGGTAGGACCACGCTCTCACAATACCAGCGTAAAATAGCAGCTTAATGCTGCTGTGTTTCGTATGGTGAGTGCAGAGAAATGGTGACCTTGAGGAGAATAAAGGACTGCGTGCTCTTTTATTAGCCTTATTCTATAAAAAAAGTAAGGCGCAATGAAGGGCGCAATTCACCAGTGTGATGTTGAATTTTGATAACTTGTTCACAAAACGTTAAATTTTCTGAACTATACATATATGTAAAGACCTTACATAACTTGAAAGATAGCAGAAGTGTTTTATCGTGTAGCATCCGTCAGAAAGCATTACTCGAAAATTTCAAATTAAATAACAAAGTATTTGTGTTTACAAATTATAAGTGTATCTAATAAATACATATTAATTTATTATATAAAGTCGGGGAAAAAGTTTCTTCGTATTTAATATATAAATTCAAGACATTTTTTATCAAAGTTATTTATAATAATATGTGCCATTTTAATCGATAACTTGTTGCCATCTTGTAGGTAGTGACATGATCTCGTTGCTGTAGAAATCTTGGGATTTTTGATCAAATAAATACGACAAGCCTAATACTACCCAAAGAATTCTGAAGAGACCGAAACAGATAAAATCAGAGAGTACAAAGTCAGGACTATATGGTAGATGCCTTAACACTTCCCAAACATGCTCTCTCTACTTTTGCTGAGTGACCAATGATGTATGTGGTCTGGCATTATCACGATGAAAGACCACTCCTTTTCTGTTGATCACTTCTGCCTGTTTTTTCTCAATTTATGCTTGATTCTCATTAGTTGTTGATCCAAATCGATGGTTTTATCCGGCGGTAAAAGCACATAATAAATGATGTGGAAGGGCACCATACACACAGCATCACCTTATTGCGTTTTAATCTGGGTTTCGCTACAGTCTGTGGAGTTTGACTACCCTTTGACCATGATCTTTTTCGTACGTTCTTGTCGTAGGTGATACATCTTTTAAAAACAGTGAACAGTTTTTTTAAAAATGGTTGGGTTTCATTACATTTTTTTATATGAGAGAGAGCAAATGAGCATACGGCTCACCTGATGGTAAGTGACTACGGCCGCCCATGGACAACTGCAACACCAAGGGAATTGCAGCCTTTTAAAAAAGAGTAGGCTCTTTTCTTGAAGGTCCCTAAGTCGTATCGATCCGGAAAAATTGCTGGTGGTATTCGATTCCACAAGGAAGTTGTGCGAGGAAGAAAACTTCTTCTAAATCGCACAGTAATGAACCGCCAATCATCCAGATGGTACGGATGGTATTTGGAGTTTCATCGCGATGTGCGATGGTGAAATTGAGCATCTAGAATTTTTAGTCCGAACAATTCCTCTGAGCATTCCCGTGGTAGATATGATAGAATACGCAGAGAGATGCAATATCTCTTCGCAACGCCAGTGAATCAAGCCGATCAGAAAGACCTCGGTCGCCGACGATTCGAACCGCTCTGCGCTGGATGCGATGAAATGGAAGGAGCTGGCACTTTGGAGCCCCGGCCCAGAGATGGGAACAGTATTCCATGAGGGGCTTAACCTGCGCCTTATAAAGTTGCAGGTGGTGTGCCGGCATGATGACTTCCACTTTGTTGAGCACGCTAAGCTTTTTAGAGGTCAATTTGGCCTTCTCTTCCAAGTGACCACGAAACTGCACGTCATTCGATATGTCGACGCCGAAGATTCCGAAACTGGATGAGGCAGCAAGAGGAATGCTCTGAAACTGAGGAAACACACAAAGAGGTTCTTTTTAGCGGTAAACGCGTAAAGTTGTGTCTTCTGGGGCTTAAACTGAATTAGATTTAGAAAAACTCGATTTCAGACACAAGTTTGTACCGGTACTCGACGACATATTCTCGAGAAATAATACCACGGCCGGTATATAGGACATCGCCATTGCTGTCGTCTGCATAACAATGATTGTTATTAGTATGCAACATATCATTGATATAGAGAAGGAACAGGGTAGAATATTCGTGGAACACTGGGGTTAATTGGCTTGTAATATATAAACTTGAGTATGCACCGTCTACTTCGATTTTAATCCTCCGATCAGCCAGAAAACTGGTGATCCAATTGCACAATTTCTCGTGAAGCCTATAGGAAGGAAGCTTCGAAAGAAGCGCTTTGTGCCAAACCCGATCGAAGACTTCGCTATGTCTAAACTAACCGCCAAAGCCTCCCCCTTGTACTCGATCGCCCGCGTACATCTGTGTGCTAGGTAAATAAGAAAGAAGATCACCAGCTGAGCGACCCCGACGAAAACCGTACTGGCGAAAGCTGTCTTCCATAAATTCGGGGAAATGCCTAGGGAGTAGGAGTACATATTAGAACCGCGTTGGGATTAGGAGGACGCATTAGAACTGGTGCCAACTCTGAAGCGCACATCCTCAGCACAATTGCCGGGATTCTGTCAGGCCCACTCGACTTGTGAATGTCCAGGGAGAGGAGTGCTTTGCATAATAAGCGCTGTGTGAATCGCACATCAGGCATAGAACACTCACACTGCGGGATGGTCGGCAGTGTGTTCCCCTGTCATCGAGAGTCGAGTTAGACGCAAAAAGGGAGCCTAAAAGGTCGGGTTTCTCTTTTTCGGCGTGGGCTAGTGAGTCATCCTCCCTGTGCAGAGGTGTTAGTGATGGCTCACAGAAATTACTTTGGACTAGAATGCAGGGGTTCGTGAAAGAAGGCGAACTAATTTCTCGCCAATTCTGCCTCACTGAATCTGAAACTGCTCATAAAGTATGGCAATATATCTTTTGAAGGACATGAAGGCGAAGTTATACCTACTTCCTTAGCAAAGCAGTGTGGTTACCGCTGCTTTGCTGGTGTCGCAAGTGAGTACACGATTAATTAGGTTGCTTTCAGTGAGCTCGTGTGGTACCCATATATCGAGCTTTTTTGTATAGGTAGACATTTTCAAATGAGTCAAAACTGTTTTGTGGTCAATCCTCAATTGATATGCCGATCTTGCTTGCTCCACTTTTTCAAAAATGGTATCTACTTTATCCGTATGAGGGCGACCAGAGCGAAAATTCCCGGACTGAAAACGCTTGAACCAACTTTGTGCTACTTTTACTGACACTGCATTAGGTCCATCAACGTCACAAATTTAATTCGCGGTTTGAGTCGCATTTTTCCCTTTTTTGTAATAAAACTTTAGAATGTAAGTACCGAATTTCTTCGTTAGATTCACTTATTTTGGCGGTCAGAAAAACAAATGAAAAATGGCGGCAATTTTTTTTACTTTGTATTTTTCTTAATGTAAAACCAGCCAGTTGCAAGCAGTACTACCAAAGGGTTTTTTCTTCAATTTTATAGAAACAAAATACGAAGATACTTTTTTCCGACATATTATTACGTTGTCTTACAATTAAACCACACTTTTCTTATGGTGGCCACACAGGGTCAGTTAAACTGATCAGTTTAACTGAAGTACATCCAAAAACTGACCGTGAATGTGAAATCTTAAGTTGAAATTTTTAACTGACGGAATACACGGATTTTATTCGGACGTGCTGTCAGTTAAACTATTCCGTTGAAGTGACGTACATCCAAAAACTGATCGTGAATGTGAAATCTTAAGTTAAAATTTTTAACGTGTGACGGCAACCCACGTATTTTTCCGAGCGCACCGTAATCCGCTGGCTTTGATAAATAAATAAACCGAATTCTTTAAATAAGGTAATTTTATTGAACTTTAGTTCCACTACAATTTTTTTGTGTATCGTGGGGGCAGTTTACATACTTAAATTTCACAAAAACAAACATCCAGACCTGAAACAAGTATTTGTAGGTAATACTTGTTCGCACGGGATTCGAACCCGCGACCCTTAGCGCTACAACTCATTTGTAACCACTGCTTCATTAATTATTTTACGTTTCACAATTATTCGTAATATAAAATGTTATTATTTTATTTTATTACAATTTATAATTACAATTTACAATTATAAATTACCTAATAAAAAACAAAGAATAGGTATATGATTGGATTTACTGTCCACCCACCATCAAGTAATTAAAAGTATATGGACTCGTAAATACACAGACAGTCGCGTAGAATCAACGTTGTTTTAATGATTTAAACTAACTTGTAGGCATGTTATCGGCGTATAATCGTTAAATATTTGTAACAATTTTCAGTAAACTGTAGGTATAACATCACAGGCAATGCCTTATATATATGGTCGCTTTTGCGTCGCGTCGCCTTGCCACGTGCCGCATCTTATCAAAGGCATCGCCGTGATATCTCATGAAAGGTCGCCGCGTGCCGCGTACCGTACACCCGCAGGAAGATTTAGCATTTTAGAACGCTGTAGTGAAAGGTTCTTTGTTACCTAACTTGTGTTTATTGCTTATATTCGTATTTTATTACAATAAACATAAGAATAAAAAGGTAATCTATTTTATTCTTAGAATAGAAAGACATTTATTTAACAAACACAGTTAAAAATAATAAAATAAAAGCAATATAATAAGTGCAGCTCCGGGTGTACCGACACTATCAGCGAACAGACTACAATCCGTTCGCAATATTCAGGAAATGTTCCGTTGTATATTACGATCAGCCATATTTACAAGGTAATTATGGTGAGGATGATGGTAACGCATCACCGAATCATCCAAATGATACCTGGTAATACCGAGTCCCTAATTATATAAAAACGTTTCGTTTGCCCTTACCTTCCGTTTTAACTTTTACAGTGCATGAATAATTTAAAATTAAAAATTTTGTACAGCCGACTACAATATAAGCGACTTCAATATAAGTTATTTAAGAATAACTCAATAACCATTGGTCTGACCTTGATCTTTATATGGGACCACACGAGAACTATCAGCTTTCATATAAAAAAAGAATCATCGAAATCGGCTCCCCCAGTACAAAGTTATGAGGTAACACA